CAGCAGGCAGCAGCACAAGAGGTTGGAGCAGTGATTCATGCTGATGTCCTGGTTTTGTTCATGGTGCCAGAGTGTAGTATCACACCATCTAGGAGAAGCTGCTTTTTACTGGGACATGAAGATGGCATCCAGAACATACAGGTGCTCCCACTGAGGTCTGAAGGTGACTTTCCCAGCATAGCATAGTGCTGCCTGCTCTGGGAGCAGGTGATGCTCCTGCTGTGATATGAAGGCGATTAACTTACAAAGATTATATAGATTAAAGAGGAAACTCCGAAGGTCTCTATGGGATCAGGGGCTTTGGAGGAGGGATTATGCAGAGTGAGCTGGGGGGGAGCTTTTGTGAGTTGGAGGATGCACAGGCTGTAAGAGCAGAGAAGCTGGTGCCTGAGCTGTTCAGTAGTTTAACCATCCAGTAGATCAGCTCTACTAGTGACCAATGCTGGTTAGTGCAGGAGATGTAAAACTAACACTATGTGTTTGCTTGATTAGCAGCAGTGTAACTTATGTAGGCTCAGTCCCTTGTAGCTTGTTAGTTTCACTTGTGTGAAGCCCAGGTGGAAGGAAGCTTTGCTCTGTCTGCACTTGAAGGTGTGTTACAGCAGGTAACATCTTCTGGAGACTTTCTGCATCCCAAGAATGCTCTGTTGGAAAAGCATCACTGGTCCTTGTCTCCTGTTAACTTCATCTCCACTTCTTTTTTTTGACTAAATGTAATAACAGCTCACTATTCTTTTGCTTTTGTTTTGTGTTGAGTAGGAATTCGTTCCTGGAACATCAACATCCTGTCCTGTGACCTGAATCAGCAACTGCGACTCTTTGTGACCCGACACCTGGCTCAGTTTTCTTCTGAAGTCAAAGGTCAGCTTTTTGGTTTATCAGCATTAACTTTTGGGTTTGCAAAAATTACAGAATAAAGCTGATTGTGATTTAGAAAGTCAAATTCTATTAGTGAATTGTTTCCCCAGGATTCTGCAGACACAAAAATTAAAGAAAAAACATCTTAAGGGTTTGTTGGATGCAAGGAATTTGAATTAAAGTTATGTATCTTGCTACTGAGAATAGAGTTAATAGAAACGTGCTATTTAAAAGCATATCATGCTAGTAAGTTAGAATTTGTCTTCTGTACTTTGTTCACATGGTACAATACAGTTTTATGTTGTAAACTATTTAGTATCTGTCTCTTGGGTTTTAGAATGTCCTTTTGTATACACCAGATGTGTTTCAAGTAGCGTGTAAGACTAGTCAAATGACTTTCTGGATCCCTTCTTTGAAGGCCTATCTCCCTTTTCAGAGAAGAACAATGAATAAGAGCATTATAAAAATCACATTAACAGCTAGAAAATGTGCTTGCTGAGCTTGTGAAGAGCTTGAACTCTGGTTGGGCTGTTTGTTCTGCTTTAATGTATGTTAAAGTTATTATGGTAAGCACAGATTATACCAGTTTCTGAATATATTTTTCCAGTTGGGGAAGCTGCTCTCCTAATGGACAGCTGTGAAAGGTGTCAGGACTCTGCTCAAATGTGCAACTAACTGAGATGTCTCTTAATTTTCCTGTGCCTTTTTAACATGGGGATATAAAATTTCCCTCCAGCACACTTTAAATACTGTGTGTGAAATGTATCAGTTGAAACACTCAGCAGAAGTTCTGTCTAAGTTTGAAGCAACTATAGCAGAGACCATGGTGCAAATTGACCATGCACTAAAAAGTCACTGTGAGGGTAACATTTGCCCAAGAATTCTCGTAACTTGGGGCTGAAATTTCTGCATTAATGTTTGCAGCATGTATCCCACTCACTTCCCGTGTTCAAAAAGTAAATTGGATAAATACTTGAAAGAGCTCCTTTGAGGGTGGTTACTAATTGGATGAGGCAAAACAAGGGGACTTTATTGTCCCCTCTAACCTTACTTAAGTCTACTACAGAACACTCAGTACATATTTCAAGCCATTAAAGCTTGAATGAGGCAGAACAGAAGCAGAAATTAAGTATAGAAGCAGACAGCATGAATGAAAGATTTCTGTTCACTTATGCATCCACAGACATGCCTTAGATATTGATGGGCCTCTCCAGTGTGTAGTTACATAAATTTAGTCCTGATTAGTCAATTTCTGTAGCTAATGACATAGATCAGCTGGCATCTTGTTGCATGTCCAGCACAGACTTATGATGTATGTGGGTCTGACTGAGACACAGTCTTGCCTCTAGAAGCACATCAGACAGGAATGTTGTTACCAGCCATTCACAGGCACTGCTGCTCTGAGAAGCAGGTACTTTGTGGGAAAATGTAGTTGACTTTTCTAGTGGGATTGGGTAGAGCAACATACGAGGCAATCCTCTTCCTCAGGTTGTCTCCTGCTATTGCAGCTAGTTAAGCAGTGACCTGTTGGCTGCCTAGTTTTCTGCAAGTGTTCTGAGGAGTGAAACTCTGCAGCCCCAAACTGATGTTTCTCTGCTGTAGCAAGCAAGGAAGAGTTTTCTGGGTTGTAACTGTCACTGTAGCTGAGTACCAGTGCAAAGGGTAGTTGAAAGAGCAATGCAATGTCTGTCTGATCTCTTTTAAATTACTAAAGATATCTGAAATTCTCAAATCTGGAAGAAACTAACTGGAGAGGAACATACCTAACTGAAACCAATCAGTAGCTTCTGTTGAAGGGTTGTGCTTCTGTTAGGTGTAATGTGGATCTGGAAATTCTCATACTTGCATATTCCTTTTGACTTATTCAGCAGGTATGGATCTTGATGTGCAGCAAGGTGATTCCTCAGAAGGGGCCTATCCATGGGCTAAAGAACACTGAGGCAAAAGGAGTCAGCCTGGGAATAATGGCCATCATTTAAAATGTTTTAAGCAGTTGTTGAGAGCTGTAGAATATTATGGCAGTCCATAGAGGTGAAGTTTGTGACTGGAGATGGTACAGGCTAGACATGAATGCTGAAAGACTTGAGCTGAGGATTTATACTGTAATCCCAGGATTTACTTGATTGTGGTGGATCTTGCTTGCAGACAGGTTTCTCTCAGTGACAGCAAGAAGCTGTGGTTATGGCATGGTTCAGGGGGAGGATCTGGGAAAGACTGCTGCAAGATAAATTTCAGGTCACAACTGATAATATAATCTAGAAGAAGCTTTAAATGTAAACTGGGATCAGTCTTGACTTCATTCCATATGTACCATCAGATAATACCCTTTGGAAGATAGCTGCAGTCTTCTAGCTGTGCTGCTTCTATACTGATTGCTTTCATGGTTAAGTGTCTTTCTAATTTATTCTTTAACTTCTGCTGCCACTTGCTGCAAATTCATGCTGTGTGTCCTGTAACAGCCCTGTGAAGGTGTGTGTTCATGGCCATTCTGCTCCAGATGGACATTACATAAAACTAGAAACTTTCACAGCAGGGATTGTTCAGCTCTGTGCTGTACATACCTTCTTGTTTCTGCTGTGGGCATAGAAGAGTGGCTGCAATGGATTTTCGTCTTAGTATTCACAGCTTGTTGTCAGCTCCTCTGAGCAGGAGGCTGTACTGGAGATCTCCTGAGATCCCTTCCAGTTTGTTTTTGATTCCATACTACTTGAAAGATCCCAGTCTTGCCCATGTGAGGGACATGTACTTCCCTGCTGGGATGCTCAGCAGTGTCTCTGGAGGATAAAACTATTATTTTTCAGAAGTATGTGCATTAATCTCAGAATATCATTCCTTTCATGGCTGATGTTTGCACTTTGTGATGAGGGAGAAGTCAGCTGTAGCAGAGCAATTACTGTAAAGCCAGAGTAGTTCTTTGACCTTCTATTTAATGCAAAATGCTTCTCACTCTACAGACTTGTAACCACCAGTAGAAGTTTGACACCACTGGCAAGGAGCACCAGGTGAAGGCTGTTAATACAACATGACTAAAGCAGTCTAGCAGAATGTTCCAAGACTTTCCCATCTGCATTTGCTCAATTTGCTACAGTATTTATTTCCAAACACTATTTGTGATGTTAATGCTTAGTGTTTGAAGCTGAAATCTAAATGTGACTTCAATATTCTGTGGAACAGAGGCAGAGTTGTACCTCTGACAAGTTTTTAGTCTGTTGTAGATTATGAGGGACTAATGAGTCTCAAATGTGGATCAAATTAGAGGACAAAAAATGAGAACAGCTGGTGATGGTGAGGTGGTCATACAGCTGATACCTGATGCACCTTAGGAAGGTTTTGTTTTGCAGGGTTTTTGTATTTTTGAGGGTTTTTTTCTCTATCTTGCTGGCTCCTTTGAGTATCACAAACAAGACTCTTGCTGTAGGGGTAATCTCACAGCACAGTTTACTGGTGACAGCAAGAGACCAAGCATGGATGTGGTGGTCGCCTGGCCAAAAGGAAAAGGGTCAGTCCTCAATGGCAGCAGCAAACAGGAAAGGTAGGAACAATTATGGAAGACCTTGCATGACAAACTTTGTGCTGTGGTGAATCTGAGAGCCAGTAAATGGGCTGAAGGAGGGAGAGGGTGCTGGGATGAGAAGAAGGAAGAGAAGTGTCAAACCATCTCCAGGTGAAATCCTGTGCTCTCCCCTGGGGAGGCAGTTTGCACAGCTGTCAGTGGCCACTGGCTGCAATGGTGGCTTAAGATCATGAACAGTGTCTTCTGCTGGATGTTAATAGTTCTTTACAGCTGAGAGGGATCCTCTTTCCAACAAAAACTGACACGGTACAAAGTGAAGTGCTCAAAAATAATTACTTTTCAGCACAAGAGAAGTTTGCTTTCTGGTATCTGTTGGCTTTGATGCTTCAATAAAACAGCTTCTTTTTCTGACTCTACATGAATATTCTCTCTACATGAATATTAGCACCTGCTTTCAGTCCAAGTAGGGGATTTTAAATAGCTCAACCGCCATCCCAGTGATCTCTCTTCTCAAATCATACTTTGTGTCAGTCTTCAGAAAGCTTTTTATAAATAACTAATGACATAATTGAAAATAAAACTATTAAGAACAACATTCAGGTTGTATTTGATGGAACAAATGCTTGAAATAATGAAACATTGAGATACTTTTCTTGCCTCTGTAAAAGGATTATCAGAAATATTAAACACTTTCCTTGCATTTTTCTTTGCCAACTTAATGTTTTATGCTGAAAGCAGCAGGGTTTGTGTGTCTAATAACTAGCTGCCTTGCAGACAGATGGTCTTCAGGCTCTGGATGCACATGCTTCACATCCTACTGATGTTTACAATTAATGCCAGTTGAGGATTCCCCAGCAGTTCATTCTCAGCCATTACAATGACTTACTATTATCCAGCTTTAGCACCAGTTTGCTTCCCTCCTTCCCAGGTTGTTTAAGAGTACAGAGAACGGCATCAGTCCTGGTGTGGGCTGGTATGAAGTGCCCTTTGAAATAATAATTACAGTATATCAATATGACCTTTCAGGTTTTGACAAGCTTATTTGTTTTTTATTAAGAAGGAAGGTCCTATTTTCTCTAATGCCACACTGATTGACATCCATTTTATATTCTGTTTGAATCTTCACTCCTGATAGGTTTTCCAGTCTTGTAGGACTTATATGCCAGAGCACTGGAGCTCTGAGTGGAAGCTCAGAGCTTCTTAATCCAGTCTTGTAGATTTTGTACAGAAGTTAAATGTTTGTAGAGACTTAGTCTGGTTCTGCCATATCCCACCACCATTACTGTTAAAATAGAAATAATTTGTGTCAAAAAATATTATTTTTTTCCAAGTAGAGAATATTTACTGAATATTTCTGGTTCTGTTTGACCTGCAGACCTAAGTTTTAAAACAAGAAGAGCACAACAGCAAAAACTTGTAAGAACATATCTAGAAAATTTAAAATGCTGCTTTTCCCACCTTCAACTGGTATTTTTAACACTAAGAGAGC